TCATTTCTGATATAATATGTAGTGCGTTTCTTTGCATAGAAGGACTGTTTAATATACTTCAATATGCAAAACTAGTTCCCCTTGGCTTAAAGGGCTAGCCAGTATTTGGGACTTTGCCAGGTTGTTTCCACTACGATGTGAAATCGGTGATGTCGTGCGTGTTTGTGTGGCCCTGACCTGCTTGCTTACCGAGAGCGTGCCCGGTGCTCTGCTTCCCAATGCCAGGAGAAACAAACCAAAGGAGACATTGTCCTTTCTCACGGGGCGTTCATAGATATGCTCAGGGAGGCGGAGGGGGGAGCGTTTTAATTAGCACAGCTCCGAGAGCCGCGCTAATTAAAGTGCCCGCAGCGTCATGTGTATCAGCATCCCCACACTGAAAAATGGCAGCGGGGTGCTTGGAACTAAAGATCATTGAGCGAGCTTTAGTTTGAAGCACCCCACCGCCATTTTGCAGCACAGGGACACGGATACATGCTGCAGCGTGGTAATTACCACATTGCAGGGATTAATTGAGTCTGCTCCCACGCGCTGTAATGACAGTGTGTTGGAGCAGCCTCGCTGCGCATGTATACAGGACCCCACATACCCCAAGCCTGCTCTTCCAGACCAGTCCTGCTCCAGGTTTATCTACCTCTCTTTGATCTCCAAGTAAACCATTGCCGCTGAGCAGCATTTAATTGCCCTCCCTGCCCCCTCCTTAATTTAACCTAAATGATAGGTTGGTACCTTTGGCTTCAAATAGGTCTGTGATTGATGACAGTGGAGACATTGCTACACCGCAGTGTATTACATTTCTCAGGAATGCGTGCACATTCTCCTCCTACTGGGAGTCTGACTATAAAACCATCTTTATGGGAAGATGTTAACAAAGAAAGATCCAGTCCATGCATTTATAGCAGAGACCCAGCTGCCTAGTAAAGCTGAATTTAAATGCTTTCAGTAAGTGAGGTCCTTGTCACCCTATTTGTATCTCTTGTGTCTGTGTAGTTTCTGAAGATGCTGTGGGCTCGCAGATGACTTTCTCCAAGACCAGTCCCATTCCCAGTCTTTGGAAACCTCTTGCAGCTCAACTTTAAATTTGATCATGAGGGCCTCAAAAAGGTATGTGTTTTCAGATTACTATGAATGGACTATTAAGATGACTGAGAAAACGCACGTAATTTTTGGCAGCCTTAGGTGCCTCTACATGCCAAGGAAAATTTTATTCTAAACGTTGTAGATGTAAAAGTCAAACAGGGTCGTGACATCTGTTATTGTAAATGTAGAATGCATCAAATTATTTAATATCAAATAGCTTGATGACACCCGAGTTGATCAAGAGTGAAACAATGCCGAAGGGGGCATTTGTATCTCCTGATGTGGAGAAAGAAATAAGTTTTTAAAGAGCAACTTTCATATTACAGAGTTCTTCATGTAGATTGGATTTCACCTTGACATCTGCCAGTGTGTAGATTTCCCACTAAAGGGACTCTTGGGACTCTGTGTGTGTGTGTGTGTGTGTGTGTGTGTGTGTGTGTGTGTGTGTGTGTTTGCAATACAGAAAGGTCGATGCATCTACTCTGCTCATCTGTCGCCAGTTGTTCCATAATTTAAGCCAAGTTCCTGTGTAAGGTCTGCAGAGGAGGGAGCCCAGCTCCATCCTTCAGACTGCCCAAAGTCTGGGGGTGAAGAAAGTGACTCTTGGTTAAAACGAGGACTCTGGACGATGCAGGAGAATGGGGGGGCAGCCACAAGTTTTGTCCATACTTAGCACATGGGCCATGTTTTCAAAGCTCTTTAGGCCAGATTTTTTTTGAACGTGCACAGATTAGTCCAGGTTGTCAAAAGAGCAGGCAGTGCGCCGAGCTCCCTTGAAGGATCAGCCACCTATTTAGGTGCCTGAACAAGAAGTAGGCTCCTGTGAAATCTGGGTTACTGACCACTTCTGACAATTTAGAAGTGCTTCAGCGAAGACAGGTAAACATATTCATTTACTTAATGTTTTTTGGTCTGCGCCAGCCTTCCCTAATGCGTGTTTGACATTTACAGGCTGAAAATTCAGCTTGAAAGGCATTGGGGAATGTGAATCACCCAGAAATACCGGTTCTGGCTCACACGGGCACCTGCTCCCTGACACCTGCTTGCAGGCAGCATTTTCCAGCCCCTCTCTACTTCCAGCCAGCTCTTGCAGTTCACCACCGCTCGAGCTCTCCCGTCGTCCTCGCAGGCTCCCGTTCAGTATTCTGCTCAGCAGATTTTTGCAGCTCCTAGCAGCCCCTGCCACCTTTATACCAGCCCCCAACTTCAGCAACTCCCCCTGTCTCCAGCCTCAAGGGGAAAGGGCTGGCAGGGGTCATGGGTTCCTATGTATTCATTTCCCCTTCTTACAGTGTGCTGTCAGCAAACTGGGAGGGAGGGGATACTGTTCTCCTGCATCTGCTCAAGGATATTGTCCCACTCAGAGTACATGGGGCTGCTCCAGGTCAGATGCCTTGAATGGTCAAAAGGGGAAATGGCAGGCAGCTCACAGGTAAAACATTGTTTTCTTGGCCCATGTTGGGCCCAATGAACTTTTAGGACTATCCGGATCTTTGGTGAGGATGCAAGGGGAGGTTTACTGTACAAAGTTGGTTTCAAATGCAGGATCAGGTGAGAATAAGCTGAAGACAGAGCCTGTAGCTGCAGCTCAGGTGTAGGCAGGCAGAAACTAATTGTAAGCCTGTCTTGGAGGACAGAGTCACTGAGGAAGATAACGAGCTGGCTCTGCGGGAGTTAAGACTCCCTTGAAACAGAGCAGAGGGGAGAGAAGAGTGAGCGAGCAGCGGTGGGTTGGCTGGTAGCCGAGCTCTATGCCCCACTCCATGACTGCCTTTGTCCTGGAGTTTTGCAAGAGACCTGAGGGAAGCTGAAAGATGCTGAGGTCACCTATTGACAAATGGAAACAGTCATGTTTTTTCTGCATAAGAGGTATATGGAATTATTGAACTTGCTTTTGCTCTTCCCGTTTTCCAGCCATATCAGTGGAACTAGCTGAAAATTATAAAATTTGTAAACTCAGTAGGGGCAAGAAGAAAAATTCAGAGGAAACATCTTTGAAGTGTTTATGGAGCCAAATCACGAGGTGAGTTTTGATTGCTCAAGGTAACAATGGCTAGTGCCCCAAAGAATTGGGGATACAAGAGGTATTTTTTCCTCTCCCCCTATTCTTTGTATTTAAATAACCTTCTTTCTGTTTAATGTCTCTGCTCTGCGAGTCCATTCATCGATTCTAACAAAGTAGGCTTTAGCTTCTGAAAGCTCATGCCCTGAACGAGTTAGTCACACTGTGACTAACTGCCCTGCTTTGCAGTTGAAGAGTTTATTAGCTTGGTAATGGCCCTTGCCGAGTTGCTGGTTTCAGAGGCCGCCAGACCCCTGCCAGAGCTGCAGTGTTTGTATGTGGTCAGGTCTTCCTTGCTGCATATAGTTAGTGACCACCAGATCTGTTGGATCCCTCTGTACCCGGGTGGTTCCTGCATATTTTAGATGCTGTATAAATATCAAGATGCAATAGTTTTATCTGTTTGCTCACAGTTTAACATCACCATCCTCCCTTGTTCAGAAATCTCCCTTGCACCAGGTGCTGCCCAGTCTAAGAGTTTCTTTCCCATTTGCTTCAAAGTTTTGTGTGTTTGGACTCTCTTCCCCCAGGCTTCAACCTAATCTCCTCTTCCACCATGACCATCCCTGACTATTCAGACCAGTCAGCCCTTCTCCTTGGCTGGCTCATTCTTGCAGCCTGCACATAGCTCAGTACCCCTCTAGTATTGCTGACACCAGGGGTTAACAAGTGATGAAACCGTTCAGTTCGTCAGAATGAAACGTTCTAGGAGAAATACGGGGATTTGTTACAACAGAAGTTTTTGTCATTTCAATGGAAATGAAAATGTCACTGTCCACCCAGAAAAAAAAAAGAAATCAAAACTGACATTTTCCTGCCAAATTAATTTTGATGTTGTGAAAACTTTGTGTGTCTAATTTTTCAGAACTTTTTTCCTTGAAAATTTTTGGTATTTCACCTTTTGGTCCAAGAAAATATTGAACTACTGGAAAATCCCACAGGGTGAAAATTCTGTTTTCTAAAAAGTCTAATGAAGGTCGTTTAAAGGCCGACTTTTAAAAACAGGGGTTGGAGTTTGTTTAATACTTGCCTTTGAAGACTGGGTCTTCCAGGCAGGAGAAGCTGCTGTGACTTTCAGGTTTGCCGGGGCTGTGCTCATCCTGGGAGGTCCAAGGGGACCGTTCTGGCCGGGAGGATGCGGGAGCAGTGCTCATGCTCCAGAAGGATTGTGCACAGTGGGGTTTGTGAAAGCTGGTTGTTTCTCCCTACTGAGTTGTACACAAGTCTGCATCTGCCCCTGGTCTGGGAATGGAGCGCTGCCAGCACCCAGTTTTTGTACAAACTTTCACATGGAAAATTCATCCTAGAATTCATGTACAGAAATGCAGGCCTTTGCCATACCTGCTCCAAGGAGGAGCTCCCCTTACTCTCTCCTGTCCCTTGGATTGTGGGGAGCTGCCATTCTGGCGTACTTCACTTGCTTTCCCCATCATCAGCATCTTTTCTCTTTCCCCATCTCATTTTGACTTGTGTCCTACTTATTTTCTCCTTTCATGCTCCTTCACATTTTCAGTATCGCTAATAGGGGCAGGGTGGGGCAGGCACTAAGGCACACAGTTAACAGCACAGAGGTCACAAGTTTGAGGCCACAGCAGAAGTCCTTATGGTGTGGCTCTGCCAGAGTCCAATGAATCTTGAATTTTGCTAGCGACCTTGCCACAAGGACACAAAAAAGGAAAGGAAGGGTTGCCAACTTCAAGAAATAGGAAACTGTGAAATCATGGGCCTTTTTTTTAATGATGGTTTTTAAAATGTCTGTTTTGACTTGTATTTCTCTCATACCTCTCTACCAGTGTGTGTATATATGTGATAGTTTTAGATTGAAAAGTCAAGCTTTAACTCGTGCTTCTCACTGGATGCTCAAAAGGGAGTACAAGGAGCAATACAAGGAATAAAAAAATCCCTTATTTTATGGTGGCATGGGAATGACTTGATGAGTCAGGAGGTCCCTTCCCATTCAGAATAAAGACTCTACTTCCTGCCGTTAGAGAAGCGAAGGGTAATTACCCTGCATATCCTGTTACTGTCTTGCCCCCTTCCCCAGTTTTTTATTTGATCCCCATATTACTTTCCTGTATCTCAGCTATAAAATACCACTGGAAAATGCAGAATAATCATCAAAGAAACACCAAGTGGTCCCTTCCTCCCATGTAGCAACTTAGCTATATTATTTTTCACTAAAGATGTTTTTGAGTTACAAGGATTTTTTTACATATACGAATGTCATGAGCGTTAGTCATCTTATTAACTGCTGGAAAACCCTAACTGAATCGAAGCTTTCTCTACATGAATTCAGCAGAGATGGACCCGCAGCAGGTGCAGAAGTGCGGTTCCACCCCCACTTCTGCTGCCACTGTCTCTGGAGCCTGGGACCCCATGTAGCCTCCCCCTGCAGCCCCCAGATATGAATAGGGCACAGAGTGGCAGTGCAGAAAGCAGGCACAGGAAGGGGAGATCCATGCACGTGGGGGTGAGGGAGCTCCAGAGCCAGCCTGCCCTGCTCCAGCCGTGGGCTGCAGCTGTGCAGGGTGCTGGGCTTGACTGGGGACAGCAGCAGCAGCTGCAGGCAGGTTTCTTCTTCCTGCAGCTATTTCCTGCCCTGCCTTCCAGTGTCCCCTGTTGGGCCAGGGACTCCAGCTATGTCTCGCCCCCATTCTCCATCATGGTCTGAGGCAGTATTTCCCAACCTTTTCCAGCCCAAGGCACACTTACATTAATAAAAAATTTCCACGGCACACCTGTTAAGGCATTCCCCATCCTCATACGTGTTGTAGCTCATTGGAGCTCACTGCCACAGAAAAATTTTGCATGCCTGTTCATTTTTGATGGCACACTTCTGTGTCACCACACACGGGTTGGGAACCACTGGTCTGAGGGACCGTGTGCTGCACCAATCTTTGCTAAATCCCAGACCTGCCCCAAACTTAGCAGAGTTAGATCATTATATTTAGACTCCTTGAATATTAATTTAAAAAAATGAAGTGTCATACACTCAGAACATTAAAAATATTTTTAAACCCTTCTCATTGTTTTGTATAATATCCAGGAACCACATACGCATGCAAAACATCCAATAATTACAGTAAATGGCATTTTTATAATGAACATACTTGCAAATAATTGCTCCAGTAGCTCAATATAATCTATTTTATTTATTCATCTTTCTGTCCTGCTGCCCTGGGACTTGCCCCCTTGCCCTGACCCCCGGGTGCAGAGGGGTCACAGCGCAGGAGGCAGCAAGGAGGTTGCTGCTGGCTCTGGGGTGGAGCTCGCCCAGCCCTGAACCTGCCAGCCCAGCCCTACAGCTCACAGCAATGGAGGTGCCTCCGTGTGCCGAGAGCTCCTCCTGCAGGAGCCCAGCGCCGTGACTCGTGATCAGCTTTGAGAACTCCCCACGCAAACTTCCCCCGGCTGCTCCGCGCAGCCTTCCTTGCCCCTTGGATGGGAACTTGCATCCTGTCTCCCACGTCTCCATTGCTGGCCTCTGCACACATGCTGCTCGCCCCTGCTCCACACCCTCGGTCTCCCGGGACCCTTCTCTCCCCTGAGCGGGTCTGTGAAGCCCTTCGCAGTCCATGTCTGAGCAGCGTCCTGCCTAGTCCCTGAACCATGGAGGGGCAATCATTTTCTTTTTGGGCATGGCCTCAGTCTCCCCGTGGCCAGCTTTGCTAAGGGCAGCCACTTGGACTCAGGCCCATGGACGGTGGCAGCCACCTTGCGGGCCTCATCTCAGCTTGAGGGAGGGGAAATGTGCAAGATAGAGGCTTTTCCTCCTGAAGTAAAACCCTGCCCGCCGCCCCCCGGACCATGAGAATAGTGATGGAAGAGTTGGCAGTGCTGCCTTCTTCTGCACCACTTTTCCCTCTGTTCACCTGCTTTTCCTGGCCTCCTCCTTTCCTGCCCACATGTTCCCTGCCTTAGAATCACAGAAAATGAGGTTGGGAGGGAGCTCAGGAGGTCCCATCTAGTCCAACCTCTGCTCAGAGCAGGACCAGCCCCAACTAGACCATCCCAGCCAAGGCTTTGTCTACGCAGGTCTTCAAAACCTCCAAATATAGAGATGCCACCACCTCTGGGTAACCTGTTCCAGTGTTTTACCACTCTCCTAGTGAGAATTTTTCCTATTAGCTAACCTAAACTTCTCTTGCTGCAACTTGAACCCATTGCTCCTTGTTCTCTCATCTGCCCCCACTGAGAACAGTTCAGCTCCATCCTCCTTCGAACCCCCCTTCAGGTAGTTCAAGGCTGCTATTAAGACCCCTCTGTTCCCTTTTCTCTAGGCTTAATTAGTCCAGTTCCCTCATGTCCTTATGAGGACATGACCTCGTAAGTCATGTCCCCCAACCCTTCCCTGTTGCTGGCACGTCCTGCTCTCATGTCCTCCCTCAGCCCCCAGGGTCCTCCCCCATCCCCTGCCCCTTCTGCAGAGCAAGGAGGAGGTGTGGGAGGGCAGAACATGAGAGACTCTGGGGCTCGCCAGCCTGCCTTCCCGAGGGGGTGCATGGCAGCAGCAGGTGAGGGTGAGCTCTGTGGAGGCCACGTTGTGAAAGCTGGGGGCACTTGCCTGGGCACCATTATTCTGTGGATGTACATTGTGCCCAGAGCCACCCAGAGCGTCCCTCCGCTCTGACAAAGCCCAGCTGTAAAGGAGCTGCTGCAGGTTGGGAGGAGCCGGGGGTCCAGAGGAGAGGGGCTTCTTCATGCCAGGAGCGCAGTGTAGCTGGGGCAGGGCGTGCAGGGCACCAGCAGCATCGGGTGGTCTTGGCTCCCCCGTTCTACAGCGCTCAACAGCCTCTCTGCCCAGGGCACCAACGTTGCGAGTTGCCCCCATGCTTTGTACTTGTGATCTGTAGCAAGTCGGGTGCCGGAGGGCTGTGCTCCCTGTGACCAAGGAGATTGAGCAGCCCCTTTGTACTTGTGATCTGTAGCAAGTCGGGTGCCGGGGGGCTGTGCTCCCTGTGACTACCAGCTCCTGCCCAAGGAGATTCAGCAGCCCCATGATCAGACACACCAGTCTGGTGGGGCAGCATGGGCAGAAAACCATGTACTAGTGGTGAGTAACCCCAACTGCCTGGAGGTTTTAGACCCCTGCTTTAAAGAGATAAAACCTCCTTAATGGGGGATTTCTCTGGCGTGATTTCTGCCCGTGTCTTCTCTGTATCAAAGGAAGATTGAAGTTAAGTGAATTCAATGCAGCCTGTCCTTTGTGGACTAATTCCTTATGACAGAAAAATATATAGTTGTTGTAACGCTTGTTGTGTGCAGGATTTAGCCTTGCAGAGATATTAGTGTGACATGCACATTGTTCTTCATGGCCACAGGTATTACGTTCCCAATGGTCGAGCCTGGAAGCAGCAGAGACGTTTTTGATTCGTAAATCATGATCCTGCAGAAACTGGGAACGGGGAAGGAGCACCGAATACAGGAGGAGGCCTGCCACGAGGTGGAGCACTTGGACAGCATGAAAGGTTCGTCCCTGGCAAGGTGTTTTTTGACTCCTCTCACGTTCCCCCCATGTGAACCAGGCTGTGGGCCAGTGAGAGCAGCGCTGCCTCCTGCTCCACAATGGACCATCCCGAGTTCTGGGGTTCTTCATAGATTACGTGGAATGAAATGCGAGACAATGGGCAGAGCTGAGCATTTAATATGCTAGAGCCAGTATTTTGATGTCTAGTTGAGGATTTTCTTGCAGAAGAGCTGCTTATAAAACCTCAGGCTTTGAAACCTAGAACTGAGGCTCTGTGGTCCCTAACCTTTTGTTTTTATTTTTTGGAAATCCTATGCTGCTCTGCGACAAATATAGGAGCTCCTAGCCAATATCTGACAGCAGCCTTTACCCTGCAGTAGATAAATAGAATGAGTATTTTCTTTTTTCCTTTCTCTCCTAAACATGAGTTCAGTCAGGTTCAGTAACCAGGGGCTGGGAGGGAGGGCGTGCTTGTGGGTCTGCATTTTTACTTTCCATGGGCTGTGGGGTGGGGGGAGAGGGGGGGAGAGGGCACAATGGGGTATCACAGCTAAATAGGGAGTGAGGACCCAGCTGGTTGTTAGAAAGATAGCCTTTAGTGAACAAAACATATAAGGGATCTCCTTAATAAGAAGTGCCAAGACAAGGTGGGGAAAAGAGCAATGAAGTTCTGGCTGCATAACCAGGATGGGCAATGAAAGCAGTGGGCAGGAAGGGGTGTACTGCGCCCAGTTCACAGTGCACTTCTTCAAAAGAGTGCTTGATTTTCCAGGGATGCTTTTGAACCTCTTTTCGTAAGAGAGCAGGAAGGTTGGCCAGATTGTGTGTGTAATGCATGGGACGTGTCGATATTCAGAGCCACAACTGTGTAGTTGTTCTGGTAGAAGGCTTGTAGGCAGGGAGAAAAGACAGCTGCGATGTGTTGCCTTATTAACGATTAGGCTATTGATGGCTTCTGGAGAGGAGACCACAGCTACCTCAGCTCAGGCTTCCTTCCCCTGGTTTTCTCGGACATAGATCTATTGATGAAGACTGTATAAGAGCAGGGTGTTATTGCTCCTTTTCCTCCTCCTACTCTTTGCTGAGCAAACGGCACTTCGGGTGGCTGAAATTTGGTTATTTCTGGGGTTTTTTTCTTTTGTAGACTTGTAGTTTCCTTCCAGTAATCTAGGTGGCTGTGAGGGAAACGTCTGTAAGATTTAATCTTTTCTTCCTCACTATAGGGAGAAGTCGTAACAAAAAGCATTAATAGCCAATGTTAATCACTGTTTGCAGGAAGATCTCTGGACCCTTCCCTGCCCCTGGGCCGTGCTGTCATGCATGTGATCTCTGCTGTGGCTTTTGGATGTCGCTTCTCCATAGAGGATGAAAACTTCCACCGGCTAATTGGAGCCACTGATGATATAATTGCATTTGGAAACAGTTTCTATTATTATGTGAGGAAAACAGCTTTTTTTATTATTTGAAATGGAGAAAGAGGAAGATCACTGAAAAGTTTGGCTGTTAATGTTATAATTTACAGCCATTAAATTATATGGCCGGATCGAGGCAGAAACCCAGACGGGAGCTCCGGATCAGATCGCGGCCATCCGAAGCGGCCGGATCCAAAGCTGGATCAGATCGCTGCCGACTCGCACAGGCCTAGAAGGCAGGACACTTGCCCACCTTTCTGCCCCGCTGCCGCCACCACAGCCGGAGAGCTGAGCAAAGTGGGGGCTGGATGTGGGCTGCCTGCTGCAGGATCAGGGCTCCCCACCCTGCTGACTTTCCCTTGGCAGCCCCACACCAGCCGTGCACCCCCTGCCTGCCCAGCAGCAACAGGGGGCACAGCTTCATGCCACCGCTGCCCCTGCTGTTGCTGGGTGGGCAGGGGGTGCCTCGCCATGGTGGTGCAGCCAGCGTGGGGCCCCTGGGCTCGCGGTAGCGGGGCAGGGAGCCCCGAGTCCACAGTGAAGAGCGTGCATCCAGCCCTGCCCCACATACAAATCTGGGGGTGGGGGAGCACCTGCCCCCTGGGAAGCCGCCTGCAGCTCCGTACTGCTCCCTGCCCCAGTCCCATGCACTGCCTTGGGTGGACAGAGCACCCTGCCCCACTCCCTCCCTCATTTTTGGGGCCTCAGTTTGTCTCCTGTCTCACCACCTATACCCCCTCTGTGCACAGACTTACTTGCAGTAGCTGCTCTCCACACTGCCTGGCTGTGTTGCCAGCCATGTGCAATGTGTGCGGGCACACACATGCGCATGGTGCCTCCTGCATCCTGCTCCCAGCAGCCTCTTGCAGGCTGGAACGCTGCCCGCCTGCAAGAGGAACCCTGCCATTTCCTGATCCCTGTAGACTCTGCAGATCTGGAACAAATGCTGTCCCAGTCGTGCAGGCCAGGATTGGGACTTGAGGTTCCCATTGTGGGACTGTCCTGCCCTATTAGGGATGGGATGGTCACCCTGAAGGAAAGAAAGCATTAGTAAAGGAGATGGACTAGATTGCTCTAATTTGTTTTCGTAGTTTTATAAACAAAGATTTCTTTTCTTTATGTATTTTATTGTTAACACTAAAACAAATCAAAGGGAACTGAAAGTGGCAAGTGATAAGTATACAAAGTGCAGAATCCAGGATATATTTCAACCTGAATATTTCTTCTCAGAGGAAGTCCAGTAGGAGTTGGATACTGTGCTGAGTCCCTTCCATGTAATCTGCTATGAAGATTGCAAGAAACTGCCCTACACAAACGCTGTGATTCATGAGATGCTGCGTTACAGCAGAATTGTCTTAATTGGACTTCCTGGGACAAGTCAGAGGAACGCAGATCTGCTGGGATTTCCAATTCAAAAGGTACAGAGCCATGAGCTGCTTGGACATGCTCCTCTTCCCTCTAATATTAGAAAACGTGTATTGTACTAGGAAGCTGCATCAATTCACTCCCAAATGTACTGTGATGTCTTTCTTAAATTCGTTTTTTTTTTTTAATTTCTCACTGAGGCCCTGATTCAGAAGACCATCCCTACTCACTGAAGAACATACCATGTCCTCTTCCATACACACACCCCTGAATAAAACACACGTCTTGTTTTGGGAAGCCAGAATTTAGAAAATAAAAATATTTCCTGGGTCACGGCTGACTGTGACCTAGTCCAGGAGATGCGGCACCAGCAAGCTTCTGGTGCCAGCTGCCTCCCCGGACAGTCTTCCTGGGCACTCTGTGCTTTCAGGAGGATTTAACTTGGTCACACCAGGTAAGGTCCTAACACCCTTGCAAGGGCAGTGGCAAGCCTGCAAGTAGTTGTTTGTTGTTTGTTTTAATAAGATCCTATAAATGAAGCGGTGTTTCACAAACCTCATCGAGATACTACCAGCAGCTCACTTGCTACTTCAGACACAAGCTGCAATGCTCAGTCAATAGCTATTGCTGGAGAGGATTAACACAGGACTCCACTGTCTTGACACACATCTTAGGAGCTTCGTGGCATGTCCAGGGTCTCCATTTTGGTGTTTTTCCAACAAAGAAAACAGCTTCCTGCTTAAAACACGTACCCTAATGTTGTGGGTCTGATTTTGGAGGGAAAGGCGCATGCTATACATGAGAAAATATGGTAAAAGCATACTTAACATAAGAATACTGGAGTTCAATTGAAATCAGTTAACTGCTGTTTTTCTCTCCCCCACCCACCTACCTCCTCCTTTCTTCTTTCCCAACTCTGCCTTTGCTGTTGTAATTGCTGCTTTCTGTTTAGAAGCTCTGCTTCCTGCGGTCTCTGCACAGCATCTCATGAAGCCAGACATTACTTTCGAAAGCTTATGAATCTCTGATTTAGTTAGTCTGTAGGGTGCAAATCTGCCCTGACTTCTACTTAGGATATAAACACTCATATATTTTAGTGGTTGCAAAAGAGGAGGGGTAGCAGTTGATCAGTAGCATGCAACAGCTGTAACGATCTAAGTGTTACCTCTAGCAATACGAGTTAGCTCAATCACCCTAATTTTGACCCAGAATAAGGTTAGGGTCAAAGTTGGAATCTGTTTGCTATACTTGTATCAATACAGAATCAAGCAGACATCATAGTTGCATTGTGATGCCTTGTATCACTATCCTTTGAGAGTGATGCAGCTCTTTCATCCCTTAGGTACGTGTTTAAGGCTAGGTAGACATGGGCTTAAATGTTCTCCTGCATAAGGATGCACTGAAGTGGGTTTTTTTAAATGAGGGAATGAATGTCCTTATCCTGCAAACAGTGACACAACCCAGCAGGAATCATTGTCTTTGAAGGTTGAACATTATAAGCGTTAACAGTTCTGCATTTTGGCCTGTGCCAGTGGGAAGTTTGGGAGTGCCAGTAGAAAATACCCCCATTAATTTCCAGTGGGCATGCCTACACATTCATTAAAGTGCTTTTGCTACTGTGTATTTAGGACCTCTGTTATGAGGTTCTACATAAAGGTGTGTTTGGCTGCCCTAACGTGCAGTAGCAAAACCAAATGCCTTTTTAGCGATGCCTTTTTAGTCTACTGTGTATCCGCATATTAGCACTGTTTTGATGTGATGCTTTAATGCGCAGTAGAATAGGCTGCTGTGCGGGAAAGCGCATGTGTAGATGTGCCCAGTGTGTTCTGATCTGCTCCTAGTGATGTGTGTCTCCTTTTTTGCTTTTCTTCAGAGACTGTGGTAAAATGAATTGTGTAGGAATTGTTTTTCCTCTCCCCCTTTTTGTTCTTCATTTATCTTTCTTTTCATTTTTCCCATCACTAGTTTGGAGCATTTCAAAACTTTTCCAAATTTTTCAAAGTTCCAGAAAGACCAAAGACAAGGAAACTCTTTAAACTCTGGTCCTGCCAGAGAATTTTTGGAGACAGTTTGGAGAATTTTTCAAAACAGAACTAAGGAAGTTACTAAGTAAAACCCAAGACCAATGGTTGTCAACCTCTTTGGACTCCCGGCACCCCTCAGGTCAGGGCCTCTGGCCTGTCAGGCCCAACCCAGCCAAACTCTTGA